ATCCGCAGGAGATAAACATACACAATTACAGTGCTAAAGGGGGAACATTATTCTTGCAGTTGTGAGTGTAAAGCATTGGTTATTGTAAGAGAAAAATGTAAGCACCATTATGTAAGGGTTAATGATACCAGCTGGTTACCCAAACCTCGGTAGAGCGGGGTTCGAACCCGTGACCAATCAGCTGAAAGCCAACTCTCTAAACCAATGAGATATAGCTCCACAGAGTATAATTCTACGCTGAATTGTTTACGTTATACAGTACACAATGGTGTAGTTTTACCAACTAGATGACATTCTGAAAGCAATTTATTTCTCATTATCATTATCAAAGTAATCATATCTTTCAAACTTCGCTTTGATAGTCGTCAAATAGCTGTTGGATTATAGTGTATGCGGATATATGATTTACAAAACGTTAAGAATGTTGGTCACATGAAAACAACAAATGCAGTTTTAGCACCTAACGAATCACATGATGAATCAGTTCACCGCCAAATATGATAATCGAATTTAGCCACCACCAGTAACTGGTAGGTAGTTAATAGGTGTTTTGCATTATTTTAGGACTTTAATGTATACGTAGTGTTGAACCCTGAGAGACTGAAGGTAGAAAACAAAATCCTGGTATCTTGGAGAAAGCTAGCTTTTATTCTTAAGCTCTCATAAAGCTAATGAATATTTCATATCAACTATTTGAGTGTAGAACCTCGCCTGGTTGCCTAGTTCACTAGTTACTAGCCGACCCCCACCCCGGGTAGAGAGGGAAGGTTGGCAATAGGACTAGAAACCCTACCCAATAAAACAAATCTAACCGCTGAAGAAACTTCAAAGCACAAACGATATATATAAAATAAAAACAAATTATTCCTCGCTGGAATCGGAGAGACGAAATGACGCCACTTGCTGCAAGCCTTCAGGAAGCCAATTGACCGATGTGACTTCTTTCCTTCGATCAAAGCGAAAGTAAGAATAGGGACATGGAATGTCCGCACCATGTTTGAACCCAGCAAGGCTGCAGAGATTGCCAAAGAGATGAGAAGGTATCACATAGAAGTGCTTGGAATTTGTGAAAGCAGATGGAATGGGAGTGGACTCTGCAAACTGTCAACTGGAGAGGAGAGTCAATAACCTACTCCAATATTGTCACCCAGACGACAACCACGAGCACACTGAGTTTGGAGTGGCTATCATGATGTCCCCTTGAAGAGCATCGAAGGCCCTCATGCAGTGGGAACCAACATCCTCAACGATCATGATCATGACAGCAAGATTCAACTCAAAAGGGAGGGAGGAAGGAAGGTCACAATCATACAATGCTACGTTACGCACCTACAAATATTGCAGATGAGGAGAAGGAGGAGGAATTCTACGGACAACTGCAATCAGCACTGAACAAGACCTCAGTTGGCGATATCAAAATTCTAATGCGTGACATGAATGCCAAACTGGGAGCGGACAACACAGGAAGAGAACTAACTAACCATGGGTCGAGAAGCGCTCAGTGAGGTGATGAACGAGAATGGAGAACTGTTTGCAGAATTCTGTGCATTCAACGATTTGGTGATTGGAGTCAGGCAGTGTGTTCAATCACAAGGATATCCACAAAGCCACATGTACTTGATTTCACCAGACACCAGGACACACTACACTAAAAATCAGATCGACTTCATCTCAATCTCACGAAAGTGGAGACGCAGTCAGCCTACTTGACACAAGGTCAAGAAGAGGAGCAGATGTCGGCTCAGACCACTCACCATCTAGTGCAAGGAACCTGCCTTCCAAATCAACAAGTTAAAAGCCTTCACAGAAGTTGGTGGTAGGCCACAATTGAAGTTCAACACTCGGAAACTGAAGGACGAAACCACAAAGAAAATCTTCACGGCAGCCAGTCATCAAGACAACATGGGGGATATCGAGCAACATGCCTGAAGAAACCTGTGTAGATGAGCACTGGAAGTCTTTGAAAGCTATGTGGAAAGAAACCTGCATAACCGTATTAGGAAGGAAGAAGAAATGAGATAAGGAATGGATCTCGACGGACCTCCACATGGAAGGTGATAGAGCAGGGAGAGGAAGATCGTGATGGTGAAGTGCAAGGATGCTCAACGACGACAAGAGGAAATGAGTACAACATAAAAAACACTACACTGGACAAAGAAGTGAAGAAGAGTGTGTGGAAAGACAAAAGACACTTGTACGACACATTGGCAAGTGAAGCAGAACAGGCTGCAGGCCGGTAGAAGACACACAGACCTGACAACATTGTATCAAATAAACAGGTTACTATCTGGGAAGGATGAGATCAACACAGACGAAACCAATAAGAGATGATGACGGGAATTCAATTACCAAAGAAGGGAAACAAAGGAAACAATGAGCCGACCACTTCACAAAGCTCCTGAATCGACCATCACAACCACAACCTGAACTTCGTCCAGAAATACCACCTACAGCCACAGAACTACCCTACCAGTGAACACAAGCCCTTCAACAAAAGTCGAAGTTCTCAGCGCCATAAAGTTACTGAAATGTGGGAAAGCAGTGGGACCAGATGGAATCCCTCCAGAAGCACTGAGAACAGACACAGAGACAAAAGCGGACACGCCCACTTTTACCACTGTTGCAGAAGGTGTGGAAGGAAGGGAAGGTACCTGCCCATTGATTGGAAGAAGGGCTACCTTGTCAAACTTCCAGAGAAGGGAGACCTCAGTGTTTGCAAGAACTGGCACGGAATCATACTCCACTCCTGTCCAACCAAGGCAAGCAAAATATTAAGCCACATCATCTTAGAGAGGCTAAGGGATGCACTGGATTCAAAACTACGACCGGAACAGGTTGGCTGGATTCAGGAAGTACAAATCATGTATGGACCAAATTGCCATGATTCGCATCATCATAGAACAGAGTATAGAATGGAAGTCAACTGGATCTTCACCTCAACTTCATCGACTTTGAAAAGGCCTTGATTCGACAGCGTCGACCGAGGAGTAATTTGGCAGACAACTGCTTCAACACTACGGAATGCCACAAACCTTTGTCAATCTCATTCAACAACTATATGAAGATGCCACATGCCAAGTAATTCAAAATGGGAAGTTCAGTGATGCTTTTGAAGTGAAGACAGGAGTGAAACAAGGTTGCCGCCTACTATCCCGTATGATATTCCTGATTGTGGTTGACTGGATCTTGCAGCAAACTGTGAGGAGCGAGAGGAGGGGGATACGCTGCCTGAACCGTAGAAAAGAAACTAGAAGACTTGGATTTCGCCGCCACCGATGATGATTTATGTCCAACGTTTTGTGGCACATAGTCGAAGATCTACAGGCGAAAACTAACAAGTTGACAGAAGAGGTAGGGTAGTGAAGGAATACGGGACTTCACGTGAGTGTAGAGAAGACAGAAGTGATGAAGATACCGCACCAACAATCACAACAAACTCCAGTCACCATCAACGAGAGAAACTTAAAGGAAGTAACCTACTTCACCTATCTAGGAAGCACTGTTTCAACTACAGGCACCACAGGCACAGACGAGGATGTCAAAGTCAGTCAGGATCGGAAAAGCAAGACTGACGTTCATTAGCCTGAAACCAGTGTGGAGATCCACTGCACTGCACTGCACTCAGCATAAAGCGTGAACAACATCCGGATTTTCAACACCAACGTCAAGTCAGTGCTTCTGTATGGTTCAGAGACTTGGTACGTTACGAAAGGATTTCCAACAAACTACAGACACTCATCAACAACTGCCTCCTACGCTGGTTCGTTACTGAAGATAAGATCAGATGGCCAGAATAATAAGAATAAACAACAAGGAACTCTGACTGGCTGCTTGGCGACGAACCAAGCAAGAAGCTATCGCTCAACAACTAAGCAGAAGGAAGTGGAGATGGATTGGATTGTGCATACACTGAGAAGGCCGACTGGGGCATCACGCGTCAGGCCAGTCGCTCGAGTAGACGTCAGATGGGAATCGACGAGTTGGGCGTCCGAGACGAGGGTGACATGGAGGAGATGGTGCGAGGAGGAAATGAGAGCTTGTGGGCTGTTGTGGAGTCAAGGTCAAAGGATTCCAGAGAACAGAGTGGAATGGAGACGTGCTACTGAAGCCCTATGTTGCATTAGGAACCCAAGGGACTAATAATAATGATAATAATTTTAGTGTAGATTTAGGAAAATTAGAAAAAATCACGTTTTACACGGTCATCTTGTGCTAGCATAAAGCCTTATTTATTTATATTTCCTGTTACCTGAAATAGAGGAAGTTGAAAATGAGGAACTCAAACTGTTACTAAACCCTAACCCCAAACTTCAACTACTGAACATTCAATTTCAAGTATGTTGAAAGTCCTTATTAAGTTATATAACAAAAACGTCGTCGAATAGGTTTTTTTCAACGCTGGCGTTGTTTCGATTCCTAACTAGTGATCCAGTAAAGCTCACTTTTACCTATTTCAATCCAACTAGTGGACATTATCATCTAATTTAAATTTTTTCAGACCTTAACTGCCAATTCATGATAAATATGCACGACTTAAAGTGCGAAGAGGTCAATGAGAGAATTTCTTTTTTTTTTTGTCTCAACAACTCGAAACTTTAGTAAATTCTGTATTATTTTGCTGATGATGAAAACAACAAGAACTTACGAAACTTACGCTACAGAGGAAAAATCAACGAACTCACTTTTGCTGACTGATCATTACTAGAATGATATGATTTTTCGATTTTACTGGATTGATTTTACAGATCATAGAGCTATCACCTCTTTGTTCATCAATTGCGACACTTAAATTCTTGAGGATATATAAATATGTATATGATATATATATATATATATATATATATATATATATATATATATATTAGCATTGGAGATCCTGAGAGTTAAATCTAAAGCCTCTTAATGGTTACTTTTTAAGAGCAAAAAGTCTTGTTCTACTGTTATGAAATCGTGAATATGGACAAGTATTATAGAAGACACATGTTTTTAAATCTACTTACGACTCGAACTTCGTGTATTTGATGAGGGAAACTTCTGAATTAACGTTTCAACAGAACTATTGGGTAAAACACCCAGGTGTCGCATAATACTGATATATATTTCTTTGGTTAAATTAGGTTCAGGTATCCATTCATTGATGAGAAAATCTGGAACTGCTTCAGGAGCTGGACAACAACAAAAAATAATTCATTAGGATTTCAAATATGTTAAGTTTATCTCTCGTTTTACGTCACATAAAATAACCACATACACGACATGCCAATCAAAATCACAATTGCATAAAAGAAGTCACTAAAGTGTACAGTATGATAATAACTAATCCCAAAGGTTAGTTATGGAGGGTAAAATGTACGTCTCCTATAGTGTATTTTCCCTAGATGGAAACCCAGCATCCATAGGATAGCGATCCCAAGTACCCGGATGCTGAAAGACTATAGTTCTAGGTTATAAAGTGGTATACTCAGTTCGTTTGCATTTTACATAGTATAGCCACAAAACTACGTAATAAAAATCGAGGTAGTTGACAAGCTGATCACTAGTGAAATGCAGGTAAGCATACTTAAAATACTTACTTGTCATTCTTCGAACTATGCCATTTATGGTTCCGCCATTAATCGAAAGGTAACTATAATGCGCATAAATCAACGCTGTGCAACCCTACAACTGTTATAATTGATGATCAAAAGTGGAAGACATCGGAAGCTTTCACGCATTCGATCATATGTCATCCAAATGGTTCTGGCATACTGTGAATACATTAAGTACGTAATGCTGAGATTGGACAGAAATTTTAAGACAAAAAAGGTAAGTGATACCCAGCACCTCAATCCACTAACTGCCTTAATAGGCGATGTTGGGTAAGATAAGATTAGTTTGTAAAGATCAACCCCATAAGTATCAACGGATTTTCAAGAAGACAGTGAGCACAAACTCTGGTTGTCTCACACTAAGAAATTTAAAATATGATCTACGTTCACTTACAGAAACAAAACAGGGTTTTTCTCGAAGTCTGTAAGCGTAAACTATGACTTATCAATCCAAACTACCTTACACAACAAAACCTTCGATATAAATCTTCATAGTTTGTTTTTGAAGTATGATGCAGTTAAAAGTAAAGTTTTCACCACAAAACGCAACAACCTTTGGAGGAAGAAACCCATGACACTGATCAATGAAGTGGTGGTTTTAATGGTGGATAGTGACTATTAGTGGAATCCAGGACGTGCGTTTCGTCCTACTTGGGACTTCCTAGCTGGATGTAACTGCCCCCTAGGGAGCAATGTCCCCAATAGGACTCGGACCCGGGGGACGATCGTGTCAAACGCCAGAGCGTTATACACTAGACCACCGAGTCATGATAGCCACTTCTTGTGCGACGGGTATAATTTTTATGTTGTTACTTGTATTATACCGCCATTGATTGAACCAAAGTCATTGTTTATCAATCTGAAATATACAGGTCGATGTGAACCAGTTGGCTAATTTCCTTCAGATTTTAGGGATGAATGGTTAAAGGATATCAGTCAACAACGCTCACAATTAATCCCAAAGTTGGACATGCATTCATTCACTTATTTTTCTTAACGCATTACCTTCTTCCTGTTTATTCTAATATCTTACTGCTTTACTGGTTTCCGTTACATATATGCTATTGTGAGGTGTTAAATGCTTAGCTTACACGCTTAAAAGCGAAGTTCCACGCCAATTTCACTGTCTACCACGACTCAATTGAGTAGATGACTGGTATCATAAGATCCCACTGCTACATATAAAACAACCTGGAGTGACCCTTCATTGATTTCTGATATATCTTGGTTACCTGTTTGAGAGTGGATACTTGAACAATAATAACTTTCCGACTCCAGCCTCTTTGGTCGGTCAGTTCCTGTGTGAATTGAATAGGCGGCAAGATAACATGTATTGCATCATCAGAAAGTGTAGGAAATGCAACGGTTCATGTATAGTTATAATGCCTTAACTATTTCTAGGCCTTTCTATAAGGAAATATTTTATTGATCTTGCCTGTTCAACCAATCTGATACACATAAGTTCACGCACTTCTCCTTGAAACTTCAAAGCAACACGATTGGTTGTGAAAGGCTCCAGGGATTTAGAGTCTCTTATGAGGATCTACGTAATGTCTTTGTACACTATAACAGCTCTATTACTAAGATAGTTATTTTCTGTAAACATGCTTTGAGTCTTATATCATATTACACGACATGGGGAGGGATTATTAAGAATATTCATTAAATCAGTTGTATATGTTGACTTCTAATGAAACCGCTAATTGCGACTAGACTTCATTGGTAACACGATATGTTTCATAAATATCAATGTTTTTCGATCATCTAAACAGATTAACATCGAAGAATGTCTCATGGGAAAATAGAGATCTGTTACAACGCAGAATCACTCGAAATGCTACACAGATTCATTAGTAATGAAAACCATTGATCAAGATGTGCTACATAATACGCAGTGATTATGAGAAAGAGGATAACAGTCCCATCGAAATATATTCAGGGAGGTATTTATTATTTTGCTTCAGGAATATGCTATGCATATAGATCATAGGCGAAAACAAGCAGTTTTACATTTGATATTAATATGAAGAATAAATTCTGTTCAAAATATCATCCACTAAAATAATACTGTTTCATTGTGCGAAATATCCAAGGAACAAATAAACATGGAATTGTACACTTCCACAATGTCCAAGCCATACCTCGTACAATAGGAAAACAAAAGGTTCCCGTTACTTGGGTGCGTATTTCATTCTGTTTCAGACCTTCGAGCTAGATAAGCCTAAATCTCAATAACTGATGGTGCTACTAATGAGACCTAAGTCCAGAACTCCTTCATTTGAGTGACAGTGTGATGATCTACTAGATCACTGAGTCCCGACATATATCTCTTTAATAACAGGTATCAGATATTGCTCAGTGATACTTCTAATTTCTTGTTCTTTATTTTGCTGGGTTGAATCGATCGGTTTTCGCTAATATGTACGCTCTTTTAATGGAAGCCCTAATACCTGACTGACAAGACCATGTTATGGGATACAGGTACATCTCACTAACGAGTCCCAAGTAGAACAAATGCACATCCTGGATTCCAATTTCAAACACAACCAACCAAATAATATCAAAATGAAATTCGATTCGATATCCACACGTTCGTTTAACAATTTCACAAGCTTACTTAGGCGGACGAATTAGTTAAGGAAAAGTCAACAGCGGGAAACTGAATAATTTATCAAGGGACATTTACCAACTGTTTCTATAATTTTGAAATCAAACCAATATATAACACAAAATCATGGAAATATTCATCATTTTTCTTCACAGTCCAACAGCTCATTGGCAACTAGCTTCGAGGGGTGACTCCTGAAGTTCCAATAAGAAGTTGTGACCGATGGGGCAAACCTGGTAGCCATAAGGACAAATACTCAACGATGACATTAGGTGATGGTCACGCTATGTTGTGCACTGAAAGTTGGAAATATGGACCACTGAATTTGGACCCAATGGCTGGCTACGGAACCTGAAGGTCCTGGGGTTTGATCCCTGGTGACATCATGGATGCGCATTACTGAGGAGCCCCATACTAGGACGAAATAGCTGTTCAGTGCTCCCAGGTTTCCAATGTTCCCCCAAATGATATCAGTCCATGATGGATACAAACTTAAAATCGCCGCAAACCCCCACATAACAGCTGAGCAAAACTTCTAATGAAACTGAAGTGAAATTCAGTCGTGTAACTTAGTCGGTACAGCAATGAATCGATGATTTCGACATCACTCTTTTGAATCCTACAGTAACTCTGGTTTTACTATGGCTTTAGTTATGATCGTAATGCGCTCATAAATTCTTGAAAGCAAAACAGTGTGAAGGAAAGGTAGAAAATTATTCATACTTCAGAGAAACTAACCTTCCAACTACATTTCATTTTCCCAATTCAAATAAGGTTGGATTTAAAAGTTTGAAGAACATTAATTGATTAATATTTGTGACAAGAGATTACTTAACCTTAAATATTCCAAATCCCAATCAAACACTTCTGAAGAAAAATACATGACAAATAGCATGATCTTTATAACAGTTTATATGACACAGACTTACACAAATCAACATCGGATAGTCCAAGACTGAATGCATACTCTTGGTGAGCTGCTTTTATGAAGCTCCTTGAGAATTTTATACCATTTTCATTAAAAGTTAAAGTACATTCTTCTAAGGAATGTTCATTTTCTGACGAAAGCAGATTTCGATTCTCTGTTGTGTTGTTTGACACATCCATGGCGCTAGATGCACAGGCTGTTACAGACACTGAAGATGAAGTCTGATTGCCTGAAGAATTATCAGAAGATAGCTTAGATTCAATCACATATTGATTCGATCCATCATCTTGACAGATTCTTTCACAGGTGCGATTGTCTAGAATTAATGTAGTTGCCCATGAAACATCATCATGAGCAAGAGACAGAAACTCTTGAAGTAATTCTGACTTGAGATTAGGGAAAATACAAGACAATTCTGCAAGTTTTCCTCCAGATGTGGATGGTCGAGGCACAGATTCGTTTTGCTCTGACATACTAGTCTGATGATCAATATCTATATTAAAAGGGTAGCAGAATTAGTGGAATAGTTCAGTAAATGTGAGTTTCATTTTCGTCTAGAGATACTGACAATATAAAAAGAAATCGAACAGTGTAACATCTATCGACAACTCGATAGTAAACGATATCATCTGTATGAGTACTCATTATCAAATGGGTTCCACTGATCAAGTCATAAATTGGACCAGTAGATTAACAGACGTAGTTTATTATTGAGAACTGAATTGGAAGTTGAATCTAGCTTTCCTGTTGTCAACAGGGCACATATGCAACTCCAGAGGAGGACACATTTCCTTTCGGAGAAGCAGCAAGCATGAAACCTATCTTCGAAACTTTCTTCAGACCATCTCTAATTATTCAATACCGACCCCGGAATTAACCCGCTAATGTTAAAGGTGAAATTTTACAAACATTAGGAGAGAACAAAAGAAAAGCAGATATGGTTTAGTATAAAGTAAATATAGGATATCAAAACTACTTATCAATAGATGTAGCTGAAAAATGTTGTTACAGCACTGAAAACACAAACGACCGAAACCAAGTCGGACAGAATGGTATTTGTAAAAGAATAAAGAAGTTGCATGAAATTACAGATGGCAATAATGATGAGGAAAAAAAGGAAAAATCTACATGGATGTATATATATCGGAATAAACTTTCGTTTTTTTTCTTTATTCTTTCATAATTTGTTGACGTCTAAAGAAAACTGCAATGCAACTATAACTCTCAGCAACAATATATGCCTACATCTTCAGCCATCGAGTTGTACAACCATTCAACCTCTGAATAAAACAGGTGCAAGGCAGTAATGAATGGTAAATCAGTGTAACTAGGATTTACTAGACTGTGTCACGTGAAAAAATAGTTTTTTCACTCCCACTAACGACCAGTTCTAGATGAAATGAGGAATAATCAACAAAACACACCTGGAAAACATATTTAGTATCCCCATCATCGTAAGATATCACTCACGAGGAATTCACCCATAGGGTAACGTTTCTCACTTTGTCTACGCACGCTGAATGCCAGCAATCCTGCGTAGACAGTGATGAACACACACAAGGCTGCTAGATCACATGGATGAAAATTTTACAATACTCCGGTATCATAAACGATACAGATCGGTACATGTTACCCTGAACTAGGTTGCTCAAAAGTTGACCTCAGTCGTCATGTCCCTCCACCAAGGCATATGAAGCACAGAAACTATAGGATAGTTCGAGTGATAACGGTTTTCACTGTAAAGAATTAATCATTTGTCATGATAGTAAAAAACAAATTTTATGGAAAAAACTCATTTTAATCACTTATGTTTAGTGTTTCAACAACATAACCTGATTATGTGCAATGTAAGTGTCCAATAAGTCTGAAAATGAACACCAACGCAAAATTACTCAGTGATTGGTCTATGAGTATGTTTCTGCATGCTAGCGAAAGTCATATTGATTTTCTTTTACATGATTAGGTATTTTAATTTAGACTATTGATTTTCTAATTGAAAAAATACTATTTTAATGACCCAGTTTCCTAGAGTAAATAGAGAGTGGATAGTGACTACATACCTAATGAAATGGAAGCAGTAGTCTTCTTAAGAAAAAGTCTTCTCGTGTAAAGAACTAGTCTAAGGCAGAATAATGAGTTTATGATAGTAAGTGAAAAAGATTTTCAGCTAGTTTTCACTACGGGTTGACAACAACAAAGAACTATCCAGAACAATGAGTATCGAACAGCTCTTCTGTTTCTTCTTAGTTTAGGACCTATAAGTAATGATCAGTTTTCAATAAACAACACAGGAGACGAGGCTTGAGATTTAACAGTTAGTGCGCTATCATTAGGACAGTGAGTTGAAGTACAACGATTAATATTTCCCAAACTGAGCACAAGAAAATAGTGGAAACTTAGCAATTTTATCGACCGAGCTTTAAACAGTCTAGTTTAGAGTGGTTGAATAAAAATGACGTATCTGCTGGTAAGCTGACTACTTATGTGAAGGTAACGATACCCATCTTGACTTGCTCTTGTTAGAATTTGATGGTAACTACTAGTAGGCCTCAGTCAAATTTATCTGGATTCTTATGAACGTTAACATTTTACAAAGACACTTGATCTTATCACTAATTGTTGTAGATCACTAGGCTTTACTCACTAGGTTAGTGATTTACAACAGTCATGAAATCACCTCAGTTATCTACAGTGACAGGAGGAAGAAAAATGTCATACTAACAACTGATATCTATCAAGCAAGAAGTGGCTGTCGTAACGCAGTAGTCTCGAGGATACCGATTTGGTGTTCGGAACAATCGACATTGGCCTTGACTGGAAATGGAAATTTCAAAACTCAGAAGGTAAATATGGAATAAAATGAAACGCTACTCCTGAATTTCAGTGACAAATAACACTAAAATATCATGCAGATAAAATGAACATGATATATTTAATGTAGAAAAACAACACTTGATTAATTATTAGAGAGACAAAATAGATAGCAAATGAACAAGTTTGTACAACATTTCTTGACTAAATGGAAACTGGTATAAAAAAAAGTAGACCAGAAGATCTGCTTTGGTTATGCATATTCTAAGACAGACAGAGAGACAAAGAAGTCCACGTAAAATCTGGCGCTGAAATTCATCAATTCAAGCTGCCACAATTCACAGTAGCATGTAAGAACACAAGAAAACAATACTTAAGCCTCTGTTCAACTAGATTCAAAAGATTGATACTTTAGGGAACGGAACGCACAGTTTCACTAAAGTATTGTTAGACAGTAAATATCCCCCTACAATGTACTAATCGTATTATAAATGTTGAAAAAAGAAGATAAAATGTTTAGTCAGTTCTAAAGAAAGATACCGATATCATGCTACCGTGTATGGATGATTCACAGATTTTGACAACCACAAGAAAAAAGACAGCCATCTAGAGCAAATATACCATTCAAATGGGTCACAAGGTAGACTCCTACACATCTTTCAAACCTACCTGCAAAAATAATTGAGGAAATATACGTATGTTAAAGTTCTGGATAAAAGGAAGTTTCGACCTCCTTTATCCACTCAACAGCAATTTATTGATACATACAACCTATCTTGGTAACTCAACTTGATTAATATGTTACCTTTGTCCTTCCCTCATAAATAAAACTTTGACTCCTTGTTATATCCATTAATTTTGAAAGCCCATTTACCTTTTGAAATATTTCAAATAAGTATGCATGACAGGTAAGCGTGTGACCGCACTGCTCGAAATGCCTTGCGTTATTATATAACAGATCTTATATAAACGACAACTTTCTGATGTTGTACAAATAAAAAGAGTGATTTGGAAGAAGACAAAAGTGTAGGAGAAAAGAAGGCATTTGCAGAATTACTTTAAGTGAAAACAATCAAACTCCCAAAGGTACCTAAGAGGGAAAAAATCTAAGACATCCACATCAATTTTCAATTATGTCACTAATAGACTATAACCACTGGTTCCAATCATCTCAACAACACCCATCTTGCCGCCTACACCTACCGCCACCATTCAGACCAACAGTCAAAAATGTCAGCAACTGCTGACAATTCTTCACTTCACTGCTCTTTAGTGTCCCTCAAAGCAAAAACGAATTCGCATAACACCGTAGCAGAGTGATGCAGCCTCCCCTCGAATCACGCAAAAGTGTGCAAACAATTCTCCATTCTCGTTTATTTCACCGAGTGATTGTCGACACATGATGATCAGTTCTCTTCCTGTGTATTCCACTCCCAGTTTCGCATTCATGTCACCTCACCGATTCGAATGAATTTCGATGTCGTTATCGCGAAGTGGAGTGGTAGTGGTGTGTTGTCCAGTACTGAATGATTGCAATTGTTTGTAGAATTCCTCTTTCTTCTCTTCATCTACATTGTTTGTAGATGCGTAGCGTAGCGTAGGATTGTATGATTGTGACCTTCCTTCCTTTTGAGTTGAATCTTGCTGTCATAATGCTGATGCTAGAGTGCATTGGTTCCCACTGCACGAGAGAGAGAGAGCCTTCGATGCTGTTCAAGGGGACAGCATGATAGCCACTCCACTCGGAGTAGGTCATTGACTGTCCAGTTGACAGTTTGGAGAGTCCACTCCCATTCCATCTGGAGATTCCTAGCACTTCTATGCTATACCTTCTCATCTCTTTGGCAATCTCTGCAGCCTTGCTAGGTTCATACATGTTGCGGACATTCCATGTCCTTATTCTTACTTTCGCTTTGATCGAGGGAAAGAAGTCATATCGGTCGATTGGCTTCCCGAAGGCTTTCACCAAGTGGCGTCATTTCTTCTCTCCGATTCCAGTGAGGAATAAGTTTATCTTCATTTTTTGAAGTTTCTTTAGCGATTGGACTGGCTTTATGGGGTAGAGTTGCTAGCCCTATGCCGAACCTTCCCTCTTTATTCGGGGTTAGGACCGGCTAGTAACTAGTGAACTAGTTAACTAGACGAGGTAGGTTATACCATTAGCTTTCTCAGAAGAAAGTATGGCTAACTGTCTGCTGCACGAAACCGCATAGACTTACTGAGTGAATTTCGAACTGTTTGTCAACTGTCATCTACGATTTAATTCAGTAAAGATTTATTTCCTAAACTGATGTACGCATATAGAATTTTTTGGAGAGTTAGCATCTAGAGTTGCGAAATTAGTGTTGTTCTTGAGGGATTTCAACCACCAGTATCTATACTGAAATATTTTATGAATATAGTGATGAAGGTAACCTTTTCTACATCTTGCTTCTTTGTTAGTATTCGCCTACTCAGAAAATTACTTCTCAAATTATGTATATCGACGACATAGTTTCTGTTAGAGAAAGTTTCTGACGGACAATTAGTTCTTTTGAATATATGCAGTGGAAAGTATGTTTAGTTTTTTTTGTTACACCTTGTAAATGTAACTGTGGGTACTTGACAAATCAGATCAGTTATAATGGACTGACCGCTGACGAATTTATTAGCATAGATCCGTTTCAGAGGGACAAAAACTTT